GAATCAACACTCAAATATGATGCAATGCTGTTGGATTAACGACAAAAAAAAAACAAAAAAAAAAAAACATTATGACTCTGATATGACTCAGAGACACAAAAAAAAGATAAAATGTGTTTAGGATAGGGTGTCATTCCACTACTGTCCTTCACATTGCACATGATTCAGATATTCATATTATGACAAGCATCAAGCTCAATTCACTAAATACAAAATTTGTGCAATTTTTAATAAATGTAAGCTATTGTATTAATCAAATCGATTTTTTATTACATTTTGAGGACAAAAACACATGATGGATAAACACAATCAGTCTTTACACCTGATGACATTTGTCTCAGATTTGTTCTGAAAGAAGTCAATGGACATTTTTGTTTCAACAGCCTATTGCATCATAATTACAAGAAAGCCACTATTTTTCAGATTTATTTTAACAATAAAAACAATGTGTTAGCTAGCGAAAACTACCAATATAAGTTTATCCTGTTTTGAAGTGTGCATTTACAATAAACACTGATTATACAACTTTGGTTTGTATGAATTATATGGATTGTTTGAACTGTAATACATTTAAAAGCGAACCCTAAGAAAAAGCAATCACATCAAAAGCATAGCCTATTTCAAGAAGTAGGTCAGGACAGAAGATGGAAACTTCAGGACAAAGATACGAATAAAAGTAGGCTTTACAAAATTGATGAAAGGTTTTAAATTGCATTGCAGTTGTATTGTGAGTGGCGTAGTACACTTTCTTACCTTACTGGAGAAGTGGCATTGGACTTTATTAATGGAAGTGAGGTTCTGCGTTCCGAGGACAATGAAGACTCTCTTAAAGACGAACGTCCTTTTGTAGCTATACTTTATAAACCTGTAAATAAATTTTGAAGCTGAGTCTTGCTCCCAAAAAGATCGCTAAACCGGTGTTCGCGTAACCATTGGCTGTATCTCTATCCTATGCGCTGGAGAGCGCGCGACAGGGACAACTGCAAGACAATTGAACCGCTATGCGCGATGACTGGGCACGCGCTTACGCCTTCTGTATTCTGTCCCTCCCACTGTTTCGTTTTCGATTCTAAGTATAGTTTATCGTCTATCGATTCTAACAGATTGGTTCGGAACTTCCATTAAAAGCCATTACAAAACATTATACAATTAATGCAATCTTAAGAAATGAATGTCTTAAATGGATGCACATATTTCATGTTTTTTACGACATTCATACACTACACATGGTATTATAGGCTACACTAATGTGTTAACCCTCATGTTTTGTTGAGATGAACTCTGTTTTTATGTCTGGGATCCCTTAATGATGTGTTAAAATGATGGGAGTAGCCTAATTTTATTAAATGAATATTTTTCTTTCAAATTCTTTTACATTTCTTTGACCTATAATAAAAAGCAGTAGACAAATATCATTTTCTATCTATTTTACCACACAGTATTCATGCACTTTTCAGAAATGTGACTTGTATCCATTCTAGTTGCTTCTGTTTGGGGTCAAACTATGTTGAACTTTACAATAAAAGAAATCAAAAGAAGAAACTGGCAGTATTATAGTTATAGTTGACTCAATGTCATGACATGATTGTTTTAGCATGGTCTGGAAAGTTCAATTAGGGATATAGGCCTAAATGGGGGTGTAAAATGGAAAATTCAGGATCTGGAACATCAACAAAGCAGCCCTCTTTCTAAATTACTATTCGGAATGTCTGTTCAAAAATAGCTGGCCAAAAGAAGGCTAACAAAAATGATTGGTAAGCCACTGCACTGAAGGGTCCGTGAGAATCACTTCCTGCTGGCTTTATGAAGGGTCCGTGAGAATCACTTCCTGCTGGCTTTAATGATAAGTGATGCTCCGGGATGTATTTCCCCATCTGGCAGTGGCATTGTATTAACAGATAACACTCTGTAATTTCGGAAATAATAGAGAATGAAGGAAAACAGAGTTTCCGTTTTACTAAGACACTCAGCAAAAGATAGGCTGAGTCAGTTTTGGCATCAGCATATCATCTGAAGACAGGAACTTCACTTGCACATTGTAGGTCTTGAAATTCCCCAGGTGATCTGTTTCTATTGTTGAACATCTTTGAATAAGTATAGTTTTTTTTTTTCATATGTAAGATTTATTGCATTTCTAAAAAGGTCTAATGCATCCCAAATATATTATACTATATTTTACAGCAGTTAATCACAGTTCTTGACAGTGAAAGGCCAGTTTAGTGACCATTTCTGCAGGTTACATCATTACGCCAGTAGATGGGGACAAATGACTTATCATTGACTGTGTCTACCCAATATTGACTTTTGTTACATTAAAGCAATGTCACAGTCAGAACTCGTTGAATATCAGATTAGATCTTATTCATAATAACAGCACTCTTGTGATATATCTTAAATATTATTATATAATATATCATATTATTCTGATTTAATATCTGTCCAGTCTCAACTGCCATGCATGTCAAACTCCCAAAAGAGCATCCTTTTGTCAAATAAGCCTCCTCTGATAGGATCATAGAGGGATATAATGCATCTGGGGGACCCCTAGTGCTAAAATAAATCACTGCATACCTTTTCCTTTGGTGTATTTTTGTTGTTGTTGTTGTAAAACCTCTAGTGTAAAAAAAATCCTGTGTGCTGCAGCCAGTCGCATGATTTGCCAAGACTTGTAATTTTTTATATCATCGTAATTTTTATTTAGTGGCAACTAGGGATGTAACGATTCACTCATCTCACGATGCGATACGATTCACGATACTGGTTTCACGATACGATTTTCTCACGATTTTTTTAACAAATGCGATTTAAGACAAAAGTGTCCCTTTTATTATTTCTCAGACAAAATGCTGCACATTTCTTTTTAATTTAAAATATATTTCTCAAATAATAAAACTACATTAAAAAAATTCCCTTCAAGGTTGTTTCAACTCAGTCTTTCTGTCTGTTTGGTCAAGAGGCTGGACACTGGTACCTTCGCACACTATGTAAAAGACTGTGTAAAATTAGTAGTACCAGATTGACAGGGGTTTTACATTGTAATAAAGGCAAGATTCTAATTTTGTTATAATTTGTATCATTACACTAGTAAGAGTAAAAAAAAACACATTTAGAGAAAGAGATAGTAAAATAAATACAACACCTGGTTGCCACGGAAACACTGATGCACCTTGTGATCTCCGTGGCTCTCGCAATTGTAGTATTAATGACTTTTACATGAAAACGGAGGTGACTGGTGTTACTCACGGTGGTGATTATTATTAGTCTACGGAAAGTCAAAATGCCGCCACACCTCCGATTTGAATGAGTCAACGTCAACATCTACGCTTGCCGTCGCCAAAGCCATGTCTACTGTTTGACGGCACGTGCACAGCAGTCTATGGCACACACTGGTGCGGCGCGAGCGGAGCAAACCGAGCGTTTTCAGTTCATTCCTATGGAAGTTGAGCTTGGCTCACACAAGATCAAGTTCCATGAATGAAGTGAAAACACTCGCTAGCTTCACGCCAGTGTGTGCTCGCTGCTATTGTGCTATTGTAAAGCGAGGTTCACAACTTCACAGTAGGCTATAGTAAACGCGCCCTGCTGTTTAAAACGTGTATCGCGATTCGTTTAACATTTCAACCGACTTGAATCGTCACACATTTTTATCGATTTTCAACCGGTTGCGAGTGAATCGTTACATCCCTAGTGGCAACGCATTTCATTTGTTCTAATCATTACCTTTTTCCTTATCAACAAGTAGCAGTTATAGAACATGAATTCATTTTAATTTCTATATGTTATAAAGTTAAACCAAACAGACAAAACCCGATTACGATAATGGCACATTTAGCTTGGTCGTCATTTAAATGCATTGAGCTAAAGTTGGAGGGAACTGGGAATTCGTCCTGTAGGTTAGGTTATGATGCTGTACTGTATACTGTATTGCTGTCATCCTCTTCTATTTGTGCAGTCAATAAAATTAGCCTGGACTACTGGGCATGAAAGAAAAAGAGATAGGCCTACCTTTAGCCTGCATTATATGCATCTGAGTTATGCATGTAAGTATTGATAAAAACAAAACTTAATTGTTCAGCTTCATTGTTCATTTTCTATATTTTAAGGAGGCTCTCGTCCTCCCTTGCTGCTTCTGACGGACTGCCACGTATAGGCTACTGGGCATACACTGTAAAAAAACAAAACAAAAAACAGGCAGCTTTGCTAACCAATAGCTAAACTTGCTATTTATGTCGCTTACAGGCCTACTTATTTTTTGTATATTTGTAAATATTTAATATTTGTTGTGTTTGTACATATTTTATATGAATGTAGGCTATGTAGGCCTATAATAAAAAATCAAATATAAACTGTTTATTTATTTATCTATCAAGGACAACAACAATGATGTTATGTGCCACTTTTAGCCAAAACAGATACTATTCATCTGCTGTCCCTGGTCTGATGAAATGTAAGCCATAGGATAATTGTAACAACACATAATTCCTATTACTAAAAAAACGGTCTACTTTTAGTGAGCTTCTTTGGATGTTTCGCAAGTATGACTAAGAACTGACTTAAGAGAGCTCTAATCTTAATTGTTACGAAAAGAATGGAAATAGTGCTCTCTAATTGAATTTTTTTAAAAAAAAATCTTACTAGTAAAAAAAATGCAATTAGGCCTACGAGTAATGGTGGGAACAATTTAAGCCAAAACGGCTTTCTATGTGGATTTGCTTGCTATGTTAAAAAACAACAAAAAACAATGCGTGCACCAAATGTTAAACTGTGAATCTCAAAGTATTATAAATATTTATTTATATAAAATATACTATATATTTACATATAACAAACAATCTTTCCGATACACGTTTATTATTAGTATTGCTATTAGTTTGTTATGAGTGTGTTTTTAGGTTATATTTCGTAATGTGCTGAATTTATCAAACGCGTTCTGCCAGGAGAACAGAGCTTTTATGGGCTTTCAGGCGACCCATACATACATCTGCTGCTACTTGTGAGCAGCATCTCACGCTGCGGGGCTAGCTTTATCATTCACGCGTCTCATAGTTTCCGGCCACTGACACCAGTAAAAATGCGTTTACCATGGTTTATCATCTGTCTAGTTTTCACTGTGTGGTGTGCGGAGGGCAGCGATGTGCTCGAGCTCGGAGACTCTGACTTTGACCGGAGCGCAGCCTTGCACGAGACTCTGCTAGTGGAGTTCTTCGCACCTTGGTACGTTATGTCCCAGGCAGTCCCCGATATATGTTATAATTCTACCAAAGTAACGTTATAAATTTAGCTGCTGCCAGGTTGTAGTGTGGTTGTGATTAACAGCGAGTCAGCGACACGAGCTTAAGCTGGGTTTTTCTTAATGTTAATGTATGGATCTTTTTAGAGTTGCAATGGTTGTGTTAATGCATAACGTTAGTGCAAGAATCTAAATTATGACTTAGAGGTGCATGAAGCTAAGCTAAATTCACAATTCTCTGATTTAAACAACTATGAATCCCTTTAGATCCATTTTAACTTGAAACTGACAGTTAAATTAGTGCAATGAATTAACAATGTATCATTAACATCCCTCATATGATGTGACCACAGGTGTGGTCATTGTCAGCGTCTCGCTCCAGAATATGAGGCTGCTGCCACAAAGCTGAAAGGGACACTGTCTCTGGCAAAGGTGAGGAGTGATGGACCCATCAGTTTCTGTTACCTAGCTCAATCTTCAGTCTTCTTTAATGCTACACAGCGGACTCATTCTGCAAGATTATGCTTTTGGGCCAGTGACAAATAAGGTTTTCAACTGATAAAAAATTCAAATAGGTTAAAACTGCACATCAAAGTAGTTATTATCTTTATGGGGGTGTTTTTTTTTACTTATTACTAAAATCTCAATTTTAAACAATGTATTTTAAGCGGTTTAACTGAGAAATATGTGACGACACCAGTCAAAATGTCATACGGGATAACGTTAATGCATTTTCTAAATATTATGATATTAAAACTTTTCAAATCAAAAATACTTAATGAATATGTAAAGTGATGCAGTAAACAATATTTAAAGCTCAGGAAAAAAAATTGCACAACTATTTGTTTTCTCATTATATTGTGATTTCTTTAAACGTGACCCTACTTGTTCAAGTTCTTTACACACATTTTAACACTGCAATGTGATTTAAAATGCAAAATGTCTGAAAAAGTTTTACAGGACTTGATATCATGTTATTATTGTTTCCTCAACTCCATTAAGTGAAATTATGCATTTCAATGGGAAAAAACAGCGTTATCCCGCCTGACTTAAATTGTTACCCGGTATGACACCATATGAGTTAACACATGAATTGTCATTTACACATAATAATGTTCATAAATAATTAATGTTATGCAATGTTTTTCCAAGGAAATTAATTGGGCTCAAATTGAAAGAAATAGAGATGTGGTTTTCAGTGTGTAAACTGTTACACACAAACTCAGTGTGGTTTCTTCCCAGATTTGGCAAGTAAATACATTTAAACCATTTTTTTCTTCATGTTTATGAATATCAAAACAGCACAACTTTTCAACATTAGGTTTAATTTATTACTGAAAAGTACCTTGAACCATTTTACTGATCATAGTCACTCTACATCAATATTCATAAATAATGTAAAGGGTTAAAGTAGGCAACCTTCACTGATTTCACTGAACAAATTTACAAAAGCATGTAATTGAACAACATATTTATAAAGAAAAATCTTATTAAACAACATATTTATAAAGAAAAATCTTATTAATGGCTTGAACACTAAATCACTAAATTTCATTAAATGAACACTAAATGTTATTTTAGACAATGTCTATAGTAAATGTTATGTAACTATAATGGAATATTAGTATGAATTATATAATTTGCTAATATTCAACTAAACAATGTTAATGATATGTTAATATCACAATTTGAATGGAAATTATGCAAATTAAAGCTGACAACTGTATTAAGAATATATTGTCAAACACGTCATCCAAGATAACGGATGACATTATGGGCTAACAACTGTTATCCTATATGTCAAAATTGTTATCCAGTATGACAAAATTGTTATCCGGTATGACAAAACTCAGATTAAATTTTAATCAGGCAGTATTTTTGGCTACCTATAGAAATCTGCAACCTTTACCTTCAACTTCCAAATATGTAAATTCATGCTAAATAAACATATTGACATAAAATCCACATTATATATGTTATTTTAGCGTTATCCCATATGACACAGGATTTTACTACATAGTGTGCTAGTGAGGAAAAAGGGTAAGTTAAACACATTTTATGAAAGACATAAAAGACTTCCACCATTGTTTGTTAGTGCAATGAATTAACAATGTATCATTAACATCCCTCATATGATGTTTGAGGCTTCAGGGTCTTCCTGATTGTGTAACATGCTGTCTCACATCGTGTCAAAATAAAATTTACAATAAAATTGCTCCAATTTGCTTGTTATCCCGTATGACATTGGCTGACAGCCAGTTTTGGGACAGAATGCTCCAAAGCATAACAATCAACTGGATGTCATATTATTTGTAATATTTAAATATATTGTTGTCAAGACTCATACAATAATGCCTGTGGCAGAGATGTTAGGGTTTATTAGATTTTTTACAGTTTGTTTGGCTTTTTTGTATGTCACTCTAAGGTCCGGACAGTTATCCGGTATGACATTATGAGGCTATAATGTCTAATAATTCTTACACTTTGTAATACCCTCACTATATGTTCATATCATTTGATAAACAGAGATTAATAGATTAAATAAATGTGCTTTTTATTAAACATTTCCTTATTTTGACTTCATAAAGGGGTTTGGACATCAAAATTGCACGTCACGTCATTGGGCCTTTTACATATATATTTCTATACTATAGTGAATGTATCTCTTTCCTTTCCTTTGATCAGGTTGACTGCACTGGGAACTCTGAGATCTGTGAACGTTTTGGAGTGAATGGATACCCCACCCTTAAAATATTCCGCAACGGAGAGGATGCTGGATCTTATGATGGACCCAGAACAGCAGGTTGATACCTTGTGTCCATGCATACAGTACTGTTCAAAAGTTTGGGGTTGGTAAGATTTTTTAAAAGAGGTCTCTAATGCTCACCAAGGCTGCAATTATTTGGTCAAAAATATAGTAAAACAGTTATATTGTGAAATGTTATTACAATTTAAAATAAACAATTTCTATTTTAATATATTTTAAAATGTAATTGATTCCTGTGATGGCAAAGCTGAATTTTCAGCTGCTAATTACTCCAGTCTTCAGTGTCACATGATCCTTCAGAAACGATTTGAAAGTAACATTTCTTATTGTTATCGATGTTGAAAATAGTTGGGCTACACAATTGTTTTTAGGATTCTTTGATGAATAGAATGTTCAAAAGGACAGCATTTATTTGAAATAGAAATATGTTGTAAGTTATAAATGCATTTACTGTCACTTTTGAACAATTCATCCTTGCTGAATAAAATAATACATTTCTTTGAAGAAAATCTTACTGACCCCAAACTTTTTAATGGTATTTTATGTTTTATTTTGTGGTTCCCTTTTTTGGCTGTAACTATTTTAGTTACTTGCATACCTATATCTTGATCTGAAATAGATGGCATTGTGAGCTACATGAAGAAGCAAGCAGGCCCAAGTTCTGTGGCTCTGCACAATGAGGCAGATTTGGATTATTTTGCCAACAACTATGAGGCCAGTGTGGTGGGTGAGTAGCTGAGTTTGTAATACCTGCCAAAACATGTTGAATCGCTCCTGCAGCAGAAGGTCAAAACAAGTAAGATTTGACTTCTGCATTCATCTTTTGGAACTGAAAAAGGCTGAAGTTCTCTCCTTTCGTATCTTGTCTCTGTTCATCTCAGGCTTTTTCTCTGGGGAAGATAGTGCACAGCTTGCAGAGTTTCTGAAGGTCTCCGGTGCCCTGAGGGACAGCTATCGATTTGCTCATTCCACTGATGTGGGATCAGGCTTGAAATATGGGGTAGATGGAGAGTATGTATGACAGAGCATGAAGGAAACATCCATTTGTGAAAATGAACAAAATATGATCAATATTTCATGTTAAAGTATGTCCTCAACATCTCTTTTTCCACTTGCTGTCAGAGATTGAGCTGACCAAAAATGTCTCTACCAAAACTTGAAAATATTTAGTAAAAAAAATAGCTTGAATACCATACCGTATGTGACAGTACAGATACTGTTAAGATAAGATACCCAAAGATAAAATGGTTTAAGAGGTTGTATACAAGTAGGCCATATAATGTCCTTTACTTTTAATTAGTGGAAATGGTAATATGGTATATCAATATTTACATTTTTTACATTAAAAGATTTACAAAATACATATGGGTACATTTGGTATATCAAGTTGAAATGTACATTTTGGTATTTGCGTACATTTGGTACATCAAGATGAAATGTACATTTAGGTACATTTGATATATCAAGATGAATTTTTCATCAAGGTCTCAGAGATTTCTAGCTTAAACCACTAAGAACAGCCATCAGGCAGATTGCTTGACATTTGTACAATAAAATGGATTTCTCCATCCTCAATGTGGCATCTAAGAAATCATTTGGAACGGCACACATCTATACAATTCAGAGAAAATTAAAACAACAATTTATCAAAAATAGAGTATGATAGAAAATGTACAACCCATTACTTGCATTGCAGCTACTGTTAGTTTTTTGTTCTAATATTGGCTTCTCTACGTCTCTTGCATTGCAGGTGTGTTCTGCTGTTTCGTCCCCCTCGCTTAAACAGCAAGTTTGAGGACAATGTGGTGAAATACACAGAATCCGTTTCGATCTCCTCTCTCCGCACATTCATCAGAGACAATGTGTATGTTTCTTTTATGCTTGAATATTTTGTGGGAAATTGGTCAAACAGTTGTAACCCCACATACATTATGCAATTTGATTTATTGTGATTTGTTTGCCCATATGTTCCTATTTCTGTTATTTTCCTCTTGCTCTGCTTTAGATTTGGTCTATGTCCACATCTGACCACAGAAAATAGGGACAGTCTGAAAGGAAGTGACCTGCTTACAGCGTATTACAATGTAGATTATGTACGAAATATCAAAGGCACAAACTACTGGAGGAACAGGTGAGCGCCCAATTATTGGATTCCTTATTGGATCATTTCCTTGTCTTTTATATGTTTTTATTTTTCTCTCAGAATAATGAAGGTGGCAGCACAGTTCCAGGATCAAGGTCTGAGTTTTGCGGTGGCTGATCGACAGGAGTTCCAGGATGAGCTTGAGGAGGAGTTTGGTGTGGGTTCGGTTGAGGGAGGAGACATTCCCCTCGTCACCATCCGGACCAGAGCGGGACACAAGTACTCCATGCAGGAAGAATTCACGTGAGTCTTGCAACTAGTCTCCACATAGTGCTTTTCCGTTGTCACAATCAATAGATTTGAGAAAAATCTATTGGTTTTAGAAAGGTTTAAAGGGGTTTTAGAACTTTGTTTGATTCTGTAGGCGAGATGGCAAGTCCTTGGAGAGGTTCCTGGAGGATTACTTTGCTAAAAGATTGAAACGATATGTAAAGTCTGAACCTGTTCCAGAGTCCAACGATGACCTTGTCAAGGTACATGGACCCACAAAGGTGTTTTTGTCTTTAATGTTTTAAGATAATATAGTTTTCTGGTATGCATCACATATGTGGTTCCACAGGTCGTGGTTGCTGACACATTTGATGAGATTGTGAATGATCCAGAAAAGGATGTGTTGGTTGAATTTTACGCTCCCTGGTGTGGCCATTGCAAGAGCCTGGAGCCCAAGTACAAGGAGCTTGGAGAAGAGGTTTTTTTTAACACAATTTATATACATTATAAATCATTTTTATCAGGCATACACTACCATTCAAAAGTTTGGGTTGGTAAGATTGTTTTATGTTTTTGAAAGATGTCTAATAAGGGCCGCTGGGTCCACACCAGCGGATGATATCATTCTGTTTATTCTAATCGCGCGCTGCAGTTTTGTCGTCTGTCGCTTTAAATACTCTCGCTCTTTAAAGCAAGATGGATTCTGATTGACTGTCAATGTTTTTATCGTTCATCAGCTGGAAAAAAATTGTTCTGTAAGTGATTCCAATGATATCGTTTCTGTGTGCCGTTATAGCTGTGGTGTGAACTCTGCTATTCTTTTATATTTAGAAAGATTTTTAGAACTACATCTTTATTGATATTTTTATAGTTATTGTTCTTGGTGTGAATGGGCTTTTATGCTTACCATGGTAGCATTTATATTATCAAAAATACAATAAAAACAGTAAAGTTGTGAAATATTACAATAAGGCACCAAAGCGTTTTTAGCCAGCTGAAAACGCTAGACGCTCTGCTGAAAACCCCTAGTTGTGGGCGCTTGAGAGCGTTATGGCAGCGCAGCGGTTTTTCAGTTGAGACGCTTCGTTGCTATTATACAGAATATCCGCAGCACAGTTTACTTGTAACTGATTTCGCAGATAATTTATTTTATAATTTATTTTTCATCCATTTTGTTCGGTTAGCTCTGCTGGTTGATGTCATTACACAGAAAGAATGTTGTGACAGTTGGTCGGTGTGGTATTTGTCCCGCCCCTCCTCCACTGTGATTGGATGTCTGGGTAAAAAGTGACTGTGATGAGTGCTGCGTTTTACCCAAAGTTGAACATTCTTCAACTCTCGGCGACCTGTAAAAAACTCCAAACGCTCAGCACTTCAGTGTGAAAAAAAACGCTCAGCGCCTCGTTATGCTCTTGGCATTTTAAAAAATGCGGTGCTCCCATTGAAAACAAATGAAAACATTTGCCAGGCCCGTGAAAAAACGCTTTGGTGGACACACGGCCTAACTATTATTATCATCAGCATCATTACTTTAGTCTTCAGTGTCACATGATCCTTCAGAAATCTTTCTAATATGCTGATTTGATACTCAAAGAAGCATTTCGTGTTCTTATCAATGTTGAAAACAACTGTGCTGCTTAATATTTTCATGGAAAACTTTTTTTTTTAGGATTTTTTGATAAATAGAAAGTTCAAAAAACAGCATTCATTTGAAATAGAAATCTTGTAACTTTAAATATGTCTTAACACTACTCAATTTAATGCATTCAGTCTTGCTGAATGAAAGTATTCATTTCTTTACAAAACAAATCGTACTGACCACAATCCTTTGACCTGTAGTACTTCAAGAAATAAAGCCACCGTGGACCTCATGCTCATTATTTGGATTTTGTGTGTGTCTTAGCTGTCTGGGGACCCCAACATTGTCATTGCTAAAATGGACGCCACAGCTAATGATGTGCCCCCAAATTATGATGTCCAAGGGTAACATTCTGTGTCTCTTTATGTCTCTGATCTATTTATAGTCCATTACAACAGACATTCAGTGATATTCAGCCATTTTTTTTCTTGATTCATCACCTATTTTGTCTAAACGCAGATTTCCAACCATTTACTTTGTGCCCTCTGGACAAAAAGACCAGCCACAGCGATATGAGGTGAATATAATCATGCACACACAGATTATTTCAAGACAATTTGACTACAATGTTGCTTAAGCAGTTTTGTCCTGCAGGGTGGTCGTGAGGTTAGTGACTTCATCACCTACCTGAAGAAAGAGGCCACACATCCGCTCATCTTAGATGAATCAAGGGATGAACTGTAAACACATAAAGATGCTGAATTTAGCAGGTGGAGAAATGCACAGACCCACACTGAACTTCAGCCAGATATGTCACACGCAGCTATTCATCACATCCATTGGGATCATCAAAGCACATGATAAAATTCATCACTTGTAAAATGTTAGTCAATACACAACTGGACACATAAGGAATGTAATTTACAATAATTATAGGTAAAGGGTTAGTTCACCCAAAATTGATAATTCTCACCGTCATGCCATTTTAAACCCGTAAGACTTTCATTCATCTTCGGAACATAAATGAAGATATTTTAAATGAAATCTGATTTCTCTCCCTCCATTGACAGCTAAGCAACTACCACATTGACTCTTCAAGTTTAATTCAAAATTTTCTGAAGAGACACGATTGCTTTATATGTTGAACAGAATTAATTTAGGCTTTAATTCACATGTAAACATTAATCAACGCACACATCAGTTGTTGTAAACCGAAGCTCATGCATGTTTGCTTGACATTCGAGAACCAATGAGGTTCATTATTGTTACGCAGAATGTTTGAGCTTCTGCAAGAACCAATGAGGTTTGTTATTGTTACGCAGAATGTTTGAGCTTCTGCAAGAACCAATGAGGTTTGTTATTGCATGTCATGCAGATTCGATTGAGCTTCTGTTTATGTTCACTGATCAATGTTTTATGTGAATAAAAGTCTAAATTCAATCTGTTCATCATATAAAATGACCATGTCTCTTCAGAAAACTTGAACTAAACCGCTCAATTCATATGGATTAGTTTTACGATCTCTTTATGAACTTTTTGAAGCGTCGAAGTGGTAATTGTGTGGACTGTCAATGGAGGGACAGAAATCGCTCAGATTTTAGTAAAACTTCATTTGTGTTCCGAAGATGAACGAAAGTCGCAAGGGTTTGGAACTACATGAGGGAGAGTAAATGATTTTTGGGTAAACTAACCCTTTAAAATGCTGTATTTGCATTTGTTATTTAACAATCTGCTGCCAAGTTGCCCTAGTTTTCTTTTATTCTCTGTCTTTTATAACAAAATGCACTGCATATGTGAAATATGCTAATTTCCTGTCTCTTTATTTAAAGAGAGACTTATCACATACATGTTACTGTAGCATCCTGAAGTGTTCCATTGACTGAATGCTTTTAAGTTAAGAGCATTCACTGCTCACTGCTGGCTTGTTTAGTTTACAAAATGTTGAAATGTTACTGTGTTGGTACTTTAATTACACAATCTCTTCATAGTCCAGATATTACTATAAAACTTTGTTTCAAGTCTATTGGATGTTAGAAATTCTGTAAGCAGTTGACTACTGTGAAATAACAGACTGAAAAGAGTTGGGGTGCCTGTACTACCTCCTCATGTCTGTCTTATCAAATGAAACTTCTGTAAGGGCTCATTTTGGATCGCATCCTCTATCCACACATGTGAGGACATGAGATGTTAACAACTGTTCCCAGGCTAGTAATCTTTTAGAAGTTTGACATTTATTTCTTGGACTGTTTATGTAATCACAAAGGGGAGTGTTTTGTGTTTGCAGACACAATAAAGAAATGGACAAGACACTGTGTATTGTAGCATATTTTTGTTATCTTTTATATTAGGCCTACTGTTCTAAAGGTTACACAGCAAGATGAGCTTTTTGTGATCCAAAAACAGTTTAATATAAAATGTAATTTTAACAATTTAAAAATATTGTCTTGTTAAATATATTTTCTTTTGTTAATCAATAAAAGGTAATACTTTTACTTAAACAATTTATCACTATATTAAAAGTAAAATCAAATGTATTAGTCTATTTTTCAGTGCATTCGTTTATTTTTAATGTTACCTTATAATAATTGGAGGTTAAATCACCTCTAGCTTGGTTAACCATTTAATAGTGTTTACTGTAATATTTTTTTTTGCATTTTTCCCCCATTAAAATGACTTACATTTTTTGTGTAGAGTAGACGTCATAGCATACATTTTGAAATATACACCTGCGATTTGTTTTAATAAAAACTATTTTGGATATCATAAAATAGTATAATTATTTAACTAAATGTAGATTTTTGATTTTAAAATTAAATTGTTCTTTTAATTCGCAAGTTTAATTTTTAGCTAGGAATTATTCATCTTGACTGTTCTCAGGATTCTTTCGAGAACTTTTCAGTTCTGTTCCAGTTTAGACCCGCCTACAAGCATTGGGGAGCTCTCTTTGATTGGTGGAGATAGGTGTATGCCAAAAGCGTCTCGTTTGCTTATTGGTCCACTTTGTGGCTGAATCCCCAGCCACGCCTCGTGCATCCTCTCCTCTTACCGTTGTGTGCGTTGTCCGGTACCGGTGATCTAAACCACGCCGCAAACATGATGGGCAGACCGGTTCTCGTGCTTAGTAAGTGCTTCCCCCATCATTCCCTCTGCAAATGTGCAATTGTAGCTTTATTATGACCCGTCGCTGGACTCGATAAGAGTTCGAATAAGAGTTTTATTCATGCGGCAGTGCTAGAATGCTAAGCTAACTAGTGTGGCACGGGGGCCTCGCGTGTCTGACAAGCTCATGTCAGTGTTCAGATTAGTCATTGTGTTAGCCTCATAGCTAACATTGCTTATTAATAGAAATGTTATTTAAGACATTGCACAAGAAGTTACACAGTCAATATTAAAACGAACGCTGTTATTCGCAGTTATTTGCTAAATCTACCCGGCAGTAGGTTCTGTCTAACGGACGTTTCAAAGTAATGAATAAGCTAGCAGCAGGCTAACGGCGCAGTGTGTGCTGACCAGAGCTGCACCCACTTCATGTTTTGACTGATAGCATTATTGATATTTTCTCAGTTAGAATGGGTCAGGTATTGTTTTTGTGTTCGAAAAGAGATTTTAGATGTTAGAGGAGTGTGTGCTTTTCATTTGTTCTTAATGAATAAAATATTAAGATGCTGAGTTAATGCAGACTGGCTCTGTTTCTGTTCATAACAGGTCAGAACACAAAGAGGGAATCTGGACGGAAGGTCCAGATAGGAAACATCACTGCGGCTAAAGTGGGTCTTTTTTTTCTTCTATTTTTGCAACAACTTGCTGACGTCAAATTGAACAAAACCACTTACCTGCTGCTTCATCTTCCCTTTTCAGACCATAGCTGATGTCATCAGGACATGTCTGGGACCAAGGGCTATGATGAAGGTGTGTTTCTAATGTTAAGTCCACATTTATATGTTAGTAGTGCATTGTGAGATGTGAGATCTGATATTGCTCTATGTTTGAGGAAACGTTTTGTTCTCTGTGTGCAGATGCTGCTGGATCCCATGGGTGGTATTGTCATGACCAATGATGGCAATGCCATTCTGAGAGAGGTGATCACTCCATGAACTCTGATTTGTCAACTAAGATGCATGTTTTGTGTTGAATAAATATTAATCTAATGTTCACTCTGTGGCATTTAGATCCAGGTCCAGCACCCTGCTGCCAAGTCCATGATTGAGATTAGCCGCACACAAGATGAGGAGGTTGGAGATGGGACCACCTCTGTAATTATTCTGGGTGAGGGTCATCTGTGTTCTCACTGTGTGTCAGTACAGACAGAGTCTGTGTAACCATGTAAAGATACAGAAAGAATTAGGATTTGGTTTTAATGTTTACTTGAATAATTATTTTTCTAATTTAGTAATATTAAAACAACTTATTATTGATAATCATATAATTATTATATAAATAATGTTCAAAAAACAAGAAAATAGTTAACATAAATTGTTAGTTTTTAAAATCATTTGACATGCTCAAATCCTAACGTAACATTCTGTGTACAGCGGGTGAGATGTTGTCTGTGGCTGAGCAGTTTCTGGAACAGCAGATGCATCCTACCGTGGTGATCAGTGCATACAGACAGGCTCTGGATGACATGTTGAACATTCTCAAAGACATCAGGTAATCACACACACACAACTAGTTTAATTGTCTTTATGAGCTCTCAATCATTAAGCAGCCGAGTTTATCAGTGGATTGGTAAGGTGGATGATTGGTTGTGGTTGGATGATATGTTCTGGAGTCTGATAGTTTCTCTACAACCTCCTCTTTCACAGCACCCCAGTAGATGTCAATAATCGTGACATGATGTTGAAGATAATAAACTCCGCTATCAATACAAAAGCGCTCAGTCGCTGGTCCACCTTGGCCTGTAACATCGCTCTGGATGCTGTCCGTACCGTTGAGCTGGAGGAAAACGGACGCAAGGAGATCGACATTAAGAAATATGCCAAAGTCGAGAAGGTAGGACATAGCTGAGAGAATTTTCAAATTTTCCTGTTGTTTACTTCTCTTATTTTAAAGCCTACATGAAATTTAAATGCATCATATGCCCCGTTTCCACCGAAATTATCCAGAACAATTTTTCCCCCCCAGACCTGCTGCTTTTTTGCGTTTCCACTGCGGTCTAAAGTACCGTGTAGATTAGGAAAATTAGTCCGGTGACGTAGGACTGCACGCACCGTAACAGATTTAAAAAAAAATGGTGGTTGAAATAAAATGCTCCGTGGAGTCGACCAATCAAAATGCAGCATGAACTCAACCAATCAGCATGTTCAGCGCCCAAGTCCCACCCCCAGAAGTTCCTGAACTTTGAATAAGAACTACCTTGCAAGCAGGGACTTTCTGAGGGGGAAATTGTTTACCTGGAACTTCATTTAGACCCTGGTTCCTGCGGTCAAAACTAGGGATGCACGATGATATCGGGACAACATCGGTATCGGCCGATAAAAGCTTAAAATGACCATCATCGGCCAGCAACTTAAACTTCCAACTAGGGGTGTGCGTCTCACGGTTTTTGTTCGTGGACGATTAAAATGTCTCCACGATCTGCTTTTGAAGAAAAATCATAGTATCGTGCATTCTATCAGTTCAATACTGGCGCCTTCATCTCAACATACTGTACAACGCGACGTACATTCACATCACATGTAAACGCAGAGGTAGAGTTACACTCACGGGACACTGCAATTCACAAAAGTTCATTGTTTGCATGTGCGTCAAAGTCTTGCTGGTTAAACATGTCATTCACGTGCTGATGCGCTGTTCTAACATCCGCTTTTCTGAGCGCGTGCCACGCGACGCTCACAGGAACTAAAGCCGTCACAGCGCCTGCATACTGGACTAATCTTTCGAGTCTTATTGCGCTGATACTGTCAAATACACACAAGGTTTACATAAACAAAGTTGGTTATGTCTAAAGTGAAAGCAAACAGAGAAAATCTGCTTGTCAAATGCGTGTATATTAGACGCGTCGCGTTACTCGCGTGCAGTTCTTAAAGAGACAGTAATAATATTCTGCCGCTTGTCTTTAAAGAGATACTGCACCCAGAAATAAAAATTCTGTCTATCTAATGTTGTTTCAAACCTGTATTC